TTCGAGAACGAATTAAGCTCGAGCCTTAACGAACCGAGCGAACTCAGAAGTAGTTTAATTTAACAACTCTACCTAAGAGATAAGAGATCCTCATATTTTTAACGCTCAATGATTAATCTTATGTAAGTGATAGTAAGAATTTGTTGTTGAAAGCTCAGAATTGTCTAATTGATACTTAGAGCTCAACATTGTTATACTCATCGGATAGGGAATTCTCTTAACCCGGTTCAAATTTTTTCGATTCGTACTATTATTTTTACTTTACAAACCTCGTCACATTAGTTATCATGACTGATTCATATATTTAAACTAATGCTCACTTTCAGTGGTTATTATAGTATTTAAATAAAGGAAAAATAATATCGTTCCGTAACAGGACAGTTCCTTTATTATTTCAATCAATTAAATTACATTATGTGGTGTAGTTAATATACAACTTTAATGTATCTAAAGGCCAATAATTAATTATGAATAATCTAACCATCTAGGATAAAAGGACAGAAGGTTAGCTCCACTAAATAGCGGCTTTATAATAAAATCGAAAAACCTTAAAAAAAAAATTAAATTAAGCCATGTCAATAAATATATGGTAAGAGGCGACGTGTCTCCTATTCGACGTTCTCGAAGAAAGCAACAAATTTACTACTACTAAATAAATACTACTATTAAACAGCTTTTCCTTCTCATGAAGTATTTTATGTGCCATCTTTAATGTTCAAGGTACAAAATATGACCTTATTCACGAAGGAAGGTCTCGATATCACCACACCTTAGATCATTTCCAAGCAGCCTAATGTCACAAGACACGAGTTATAAAATCTAATTTATTTATAAATAAACATGGAATCCGTTGCGAAACCAGCCGGTCATCACGGGGAGGCCCAATTTGCCGCGGTGCACCACCCCCACTCCGGCATCGGAAGGGCGCTCAAAGGGTTTTTGTGGACGCTCTAAAAAATTTTCGCAGGATATAAAGGAATACTCTAGAGATTTTTATAAAAATCAAACTAAGTCCGAAATTAAACTGGTATACTTAAGCTGAATTGTTTTAACTCGAAAAATACTCGAATTTATACTAATAAAAATCTCGGACTCAATTATAATAATAATTAAGAATTATACCTCCTTTCGAATAGACGAAAAGCTGAAAAAATTAAGAAAAAGAAGTCTCAAACGATCGAACTCGTCCTCGACAAATTTGCTCCTTTTGATACTATTTAACGCAGAAATTCAAACTCCCATAATAAATGCTCGGAACTCCAAAAAAATACAAAATTTGTCCGTATGGAATCGTGCTTGAATTGTCTACACGCTCCAACTCGATTCTCGTTAAACCGAGGTCACACGCAACCTTACGGAATGCCGCAAAACGGCTTTTTATTCTTCTATTATGCGCACTCGAATTCGAGCTTCTCAAAATAAATGCTCGAAACTTCGAAACGTGAAATAAATTTTACGAACGGCTTCCACTGTTCTCGTGCTTTCAAGAAAGCACTCCCGCTAATTTTCAGCACGCCTAACGAGGGCCGACGGTTACTCGAAGTCTAGACATGAAAATGACAATAAAATCACCACCACTGTCATTTTTCTCTCAACTTCGGGCTACCCAAAATAAATGGTCGGGAAATCAAAATCATAAATCGATGTCACCAACGAACTCTCCGCTTCCCGTACTTTCATAAAAGTATTTTTCGGTAATGATCGGCTCGGTTTTTGAGTCCCGTCGGTACACCAAAAGTCGGCTAATTAACCAACTCAAAAATAATAAAAATGAAAAAATTATTAAATTTTGCAACTGTTATAGTTCTCCTTGTCCTGAAACCAGGATCCCGTTTCGGAGAGGGCCCAATTTGACTTTAAAAAAAATTTCACGACAAAACCGGTGGCGCCCCTCCAGCCATGTATGTACGCATGAAACCGGGGAGGGCCCAACATGTGCGCTCAAAGAAAAATCTTCCAATTCCAGCAAAATCCTCCACCTCTAATTTA